AGGGGGAGCTGTCCCTTATCCTAGGCAGGGCGCCTGGATTGAGAGCCTGTTCTGAAGATTCAATAGAGTATGGCCTTCCTGGGTGAGAAGGCTCGGTGTTCAAGCAGTCGTCTGTGAGGAGTTGTTGTGGTTCCAGGATATCGGCCCGACTGTTGACCCGAGAATGTGCCCTGAGCCACGTGACGTTCACGTGGACGATCTAGTCCATGAATGTGATATCACCACCCCATTTCTCCCACCGGTTTCCAACCAACGCGCCCTTGAAGATGCCGCTGGGCCATAACCGACATCAATTATCTCTCGAAGATATTTTGGATTTTTCGCAGCCTTTGACCCTGGCGCCGCATGAAAGTCAAACTGCAAGAACCATTTTCGATCGACTAATTAAACACTATCATCCTGAACAGACTTCACAACGGGGTTACAAGCCTGTTGCGCTTGTCCAGACTACCTTCGATCATGTTTCATCCAAAGATGTATTTCTGATGCTTTTTTTCTCATTTCTGTATGAGAATTTATGCAGGAAATCTGATAATCCTTCCGATATTACCCTTTACATGCGCTACTTTGACGATTTCGCTTCCTGGGACTCGGATAGGTTGAGCAACGTAAAGGCCGCGATCGAAGGCTTTGCTGAGTATATCATTGACAACTTCCTACTTCCACGTACTACATCCTTTGTATACAAATTTAAGTTGCCACTTGTGAAAAGTACTAACTAATGCGGGCTATATAGTCAGAGCTTCGTCGGTCAAAACACCACAACCTACCCCAGCGTCCTTATCTTCATTTGACACGTCCACAGCAGTTAGTTCAAGACAGCGTATATCTACTCTGAGGCAAAGTTGTCTTGTACGTGATCATTATCGCTGTGTTATTTCTCGAAAATTCGATCGACGTGAAGCCGAAAAGCGTTTTGAACAAGATGGGGAAGATTGCAAGGATGACGATGGAAATCTTCTTCGAGACGAATCAAACGACCGATTTCAATTTTTAGAAGTTGCCCATATTTTACCCCATTCTCTCACTGCGGTTTCTTCTGGTGAAACGGACCTGGTATGTAAGGATCTGTAATCTTCATGGTCATTCTGTTAACGTGGCTCCATAGAACGATTCGAAAAAGAATGCCCTCCGAATTCTAAATATGTTCGATCACGGAATTACCCATTTAATCGAATATCCGAAGACCGATAGCCCCATGAACGCTCTAACATTAACATACGACTATCATCAATTATTCGGCGCATTCAAGATATATTTCGAGCCCACAGGCAACCCATATCAATATAAGATTGATTCAATGGAGCAACGTTCCTTCTTACGTGATCCATTGTTCCCTGTCATTCGGACACTGACCCTAAGCCCAAACCGTACGATCGACCCACCATCTCCTCGACTGCTCGCCGTCCACCGTGCCATTGCGCGTATTATACATCTCAGTGGCGCAGGGGAATATATAGAGCGTATCCTTCGCGATTTAGAGGAAGTGAGCGTGAAAGAAGATGGCTCAACCAATTTGGGACACATAGTGAAACTTCGACTTGGTGGCTGGTTAGATACATTAACTGTCTGTTAATTCCATGATGTACCCTGCTGTCTGGTTGCCCATGTCCTCTTGATGCTTTGAAAATGCGGTTGGCAGACCTCTTGTTTGACCATAAGCTTGACTAATGGATGAAGCCTTACCGTTCTTTGGCCTGGGAACCTTGCGACCCGTTTGACAGAGGCAGAACTGCACGACTGACTCCTTTGACGCTGCTGATTTCACGGGGCTGGAAGACGAGGATTTCCTTATTTGAGAGGATTGCTTTCGCACGGGCAGATTTTTGGTGAGTGCCGGTATCCCAAGCTTGGGAGACGCAGCGGGAGGGTCGGAATCAACGTACCTGCGGCGGCCCAGTTGCTGGTCCTTGAGCATATCCCTTCACTTCCCCACCATGCTCGCGGTGTTATGGCCCTTTGTCAAGTCCATCTCCTTATTATATTCTTCTCCTTGACAGTTGTTCTTCTTCCTCCCACCTCTCCTACTTCCGCTCATCCTCCGCCAGGCATTCAAGATGCCCCGTCCAGTTGTGAACTACCATAACGATCTGTCCCGCCTTCATCAGAGGTTTGGGCTCACTCGTCGCCCTTCTCTTGCTTCGATTAACGGCCTCTCAGTTGGTCAAGCCATGCTGCTTCGCACCCTGCTCCTCTCTCTCGTGAACCGTACCCGTCACTCGCACGATTACCGCATCTCCGCTGCAACCCAGTTGGAAGTCCTTGCTCTTATCGACCAGCTAAAGCGCCGCATCAATGAAGCCAATGCCATTGCTCTGTTCGCCGCCTTCGGTCTGCCTCATAGCGCGGACGCGACTCATCTTGCTGCCCTGGATCTGATCTCTCTGGAGACCTTCCATGATGGCCTTGTTGTTCTCCGCGAGGGAGCGCTCCCAGACCGCCACCTCCTGAACGCCGGTTTCCTTGCAGACCTTCAGCGCGTTTGGGAGGCTTCCTTGACCCTGCTTGATGCCGAAGGCTCTGTGGTCCCGGCTAATTGTGAGTGCCTCTTTCCTATCAGATGGTTGTCCAGTTCTCTTGCTAACACCAATGTCCAATGTCCTAGGAACGTTGTGTGGTCGCCTCGGTCGCGTGTTACTTCTCAGATAAGCCTTCGGTGTTTTCTCTTCACGGCGTGTACTGGGGTTGGTAATCTCTGGGGGGTTCATGTTACTCGTGGTTTCTGTTTTCCTTTTCCTCTTCGTCTGCTTGTTCGTCCGCGGGACGGTCTCCGGGTGAGCAGGGACTGCCCAAGGCGTGGCTTGGGCCTGCTCCCATTCATGGGCAGCTAGGGTGTCTCAAAGGGATTCTGTCGGCTCATACGTTGGTTCGGGATACCCAGCCCACTTAACTAGGTAGCAGAATCGCAGTTTTCGTTCACTTCCTCTTTTTACCCATTCCTTACCCAGTACTTCTTCAACGTAGAACTCTTCTTCTCCGTCCACAAGGATAGCCGGCGGCCGAGTCTCATTGTCACATTGGGATCGATGCTTGTCAGCGGTCGTGGGCCGTAGTAAGTCCACATGGAACATATTATACACCCCTTTCGGCGTGTCAAGGCGTACCACGTGGGTGCCAATTGTCTCCACTACCCTATATTTGGCGTTCTTCCAGTCCAGCTTCTTGCTATGCTAACCTATTTGGTCGGACCCTCATCTTCTCTGCCTCTTTAGCTAAGCGATACCAGGTCATTCTTTGCATACGTAGGGGCTGGTGAACATTTCTAATTAGCTTGCCAGTTAGCTTCCTATTAGGTATAAGCTAGTAATACTCAGGAGTCAGGCCTAGTCCATGACTTCTTTAGTTGTATACGTAATCTTTTCCCTAGCTTGAATAGGGCTCCTCAGGGCCTGATCTACTAGAGTCATATACTCTTTAGTAAGATTAAAGGGGGAGAGCTTGTATCTATGCAAGAGGAAGAAGGGGGATACCCCTGTAGATATTAGTGTTCTTCCATTAATTACTAGCTATGCTATGGGTAATAGCTTAACTCAGTCCAACTAGTCATAGCACACAAAGATTCATAGGTATTCATCGACCATACTATTATACTGTTCCGTTGCTCCACCAGTTTGCGGGTGGTAAGCCGTTGATAGCCTTCATTTAATGCCAATAAGCTGACATATTCGTTTCCAAGTGTCGTTGACGAATTGTGTGCCGCGGTCAGAGATAATTGACCATGGAAACTCATGATTCCGTACCAAAGAGTCGATGATAGCCCACGCTATCTTCTCCGCCGTGATCCATTCCATGGCGAGAAGGATTAATCCCTTGGTCAGTCGATCAGTAATTACCAGAAGGGTCGTGCACCCATTACTTAGGGGTAAGTCAGTAATAAAGTCCATGGTCATGTGCTGCCAGGGGCGCTCGGGGACTGGCAAGGGTTTTAGTAGCCCTTTCTTTTGGTCTCTCCATGCCCTGGCTTTACCACAGATACTGCAGTTCCGGATATATGTCCACGGTCTAGCTACGAACTGTCTGCAGGGCGAGTAAAAATTATCGCCCACTGTTCCCCTACGGTCCGAATCAATTCTATGCTTCTATGCTGTGATTGCTTACATTTCTATAAATTATTCGCGAACCCCGAGTCAACACTAAGGGAACCTGTTCATAGTAGCCCCAAAAGAGACAATCTACTCCCAAGTATTCCATCTTTCCAAGTTTCGGTCCTAGTAGTGCTAAGAGTGCGGTGATTCATGCAATATTGACATACACAGAGAAATTCTGTCCACGAAGAGTAGTATAGCGAGCCTTTCGGAAAGCTTGCAACATCTGATAATCCGGAACCGACATCTGCCACTATCTTGTATAGTGGCTTTCCTCTCTCGTTCCCATCTTTGCATTCAGGAGCTCGTCGTAGGATAACACATCTCCTACCGCAAGGATCAGTCGTCTCACCGAATATCACCAGATCTAAATCAGGGAATCCTTCAACTCCAAAGGCCCACTGACAAAACATGTGCAGTGACAATGCAATCTTTTTTGTGCTTGTTGCACTTGGGCCTCCGAAACCACCAGAACTGTGGAAATCTAAGCTATCTGGACTGAGTATGCCGTCTTGAGAAAGGGGAAAATTTGGCTTCTGATTCACAAGTTCTAAAGCACATCGGATATGCTCTTGTACGCGTTGCCGCAAGTGTATTGTTCGTAAAGACCAGCTTACCAGCGGCTCTAATGCCATTCTCTGTCACAAGTTAGCGCGAGTGTGTTATGATCAACGGGCATCGTACAGCTTTGGAGGGTTCAAGCTAAGACCGAGGTTCTGTATGCCAATCTTTGTGAGGCATGGCAGCACGTCCTTGGAGTATAGTCTCACCAACGCCAGGCGGTCAAGCCCCGGAGGCGCAGCGGTTACCAAGTCGCACAGCGAGAATGTCTTTATCTTGCCGCTGGACGCAATAGTGTTCACTAAGTAGTCGGCGCTCGGCCAAAAGTCCGAATCGGTCCTCCTCGTGATCGACAGCGAAACTAGCTGCTTCAACGTTGTGATAAATTCTCCTAGACACCGTAGTGATGCTGGTTCTCTCTCCCTATCATCAAAACTTACTTCCAAGTATCTCAGCCCATTGCATAGATTGCGCCGTGACAGATCCCCCAAAAGACGCAGCTCATTAGCGCAGTTCCGTAGCCTCAAAGACCGAAGGCGAAATCCCGGAACAGAGGAAGGTCGCTTGGAATATCTTCCCACAGCGGAATATTCTCCAGCGACAACTCGCGCAGTTTCGGAAACGCTGACGTCTCCGAAAAGATAGTAGCAATGTTAAAGCGAGAACATACCTCCTCGCAGCCTCCTAGGTGTAGCGTCTCAAGCCGCGATGAGTTCATTCCAAGACAAGTTTTTAGCGCCCGGAGCTGCTTGGTTCTATGTATATCCTTCCAATACAAAGAGTTCAGATTTGAAAGTTTGATCAGACCGTCGACTTTTTGCTCTCTTGGGATCCCGAAGTCAGCCGCCGTTCCGGTGTTACAACGCGGCGTACGCAGTGCTATCGATTGAATACTCGACTGAAATCTGGCTATATAGCCATCAAATCCCAGAATCGTCTCCGGGATGAAAGGGAAGTCCCAACTTGAAAGTAAGCCGCGTCCGCAACAGTGACATCAGAGTAGCATACACGAAGGAGGTGACACTGTTACTGACCAAGTGGTCGAAAATAAGCGACAAAGAAAGATGCCAACTTTTTGGGAACAGCATGTGGGTGTCTGCTCTGGGCTTTATTAGAGAACTTGTTGGTCCAATTGGCCTGATTGTGCAGTGTTCTGTGGAGGTCGTAGTGAAGGTCAACTTCTTGACGCGTTTTAGGCAATCAATGGCGCTTGTTTGGTCATGAATGCGGAAAAATCTTTTGATGCCGGCTCGTACATCCGTTAAGGGTATTGGAATGCACAAGGAAAGGGAAAAGATAGTGTAGTATAAACGCCTAGACACGAGTGATATTGCGCGTAAATCTTCGTGACTCAGCTTTAATTTCGTAAGCAATGGGCGTAAACATCAAAGACGAAGCCCAGGAGTACAAACCAGGCCTATAATGAGCCCGAAGATGTCGGCGGGAATATTTGCCAGCATCCTGAATGGTTTGGTATCAGCACCGCTATCACCGCACAGACGGCCGCCTGATGTTAACCTTGAGTGTGCATAGGCGAGTCGTAGAGTTCAAATCGAAGAATCGTCTGAAGGACGCCGTGCTCTAAGTGAACTAAGATACCGGTTCAAGTCTGATTGCATTCCTTGAATTACCTGGCAGCCTTGACCAAATAGCCTAATTATGTCCGTTTTCTCAACCATGAGAATGGCCAACAAAGCGATGAACGGTTGTGATAGTGAAATGAAGATTTGAAGATCGGTAGAAGGAAAGCGTGCCGAACACTAGTGCCTTCCGCGTCGAGCAAAGGAGCATACACCAACCACGACAAACCCGATCATCGTTTGTAACTTCAAAACGAATTTTTCTAAGCGGGCATTTGACTTGGTTTCGATCATCGCACGTGTCATCTCACGTATTAAAAATCGTAATACAATATGTCCCCGTTCAACATCGACGCCGGACCCACGTTCCAGAGTACAAGAACTTGCTTCTCGCCGTCGGCAACCATGGTTATAATACTTCGTCCCAGACAGTTCTGTAGACGAATACTCTTTACTATCATCTTGAGTATAGGTATTAAGGTCCATGACGAGGATTTTGACAAGGGGCCTTGCAGCACATTTAGGATCCGAGAAGCGCTTAACATCATGTCTTACGTGAATCCACTGGCACTCTCTTCCGATGAAAAGAACATGCTCTTCAGAGACGCCACCGCCACGCTCTTCATCGACATTAATAAGACGTCGGACTTCTTGTTTGAATCTCTCGGGCCCTCCGATGCCGATGTACCGTACGCCAAAGCTAAAGTCAAAGTGCCTGAAGACAGCCGGTTCAGCAGCAATTGGGGAGTTATCGAATTACTACTTTATAAGATCTTTTCCAGAATCAGCGGAGACGGCAAGATCTGCAACGCGAATACATACTTTCGGAATGGTCAAGACGGCGTCAGACCCGGGGCAGTACTAATCCTTGAGGCTCACCGTGTCGGAGAAAGTCTGTTAGAAGCTCAGATATCTTATGCTGAGGGGTCACTGATCGCTACTGCATCAGCTATATACAGGCCAATCCAGGTCGAAGGGAAATGCCTAGCTGCACCTATTGATTTCGGTACAACAAATGCCAAACAGGCTGCATCTCCAGGTGTGCCTGAGCTCGCCTGATCTGCCTCCAAATTCTAGGCCATAGGTGCCTTAATTAATAACTCAGCGGACTGTACTATACCCAGCTTTGCTCAGTTGCACAATACAAACGATCATATGTATGCAGTCCACAAAGCATATGTGGAGAGACAGTGAAAATTCTCAAACCAAAAGATGAAGAAGAGATAAGTACATTTCCTTTTGAACCAATTCCGAACCAAACGGATGCACGTAGAAGATAGCAAAATCCCCGCAGACACCCTTCCCTGACGGCCAGACGACGGCAATCCTCGGGTATAGAAAGACGGGTGAATGGCCGACTTAGAATAGGACGGGACCTCAGGATCGATAACAATGGTGTTTCCCGGGCATCTTTGACCCTCCTCCCTCAATATGTGTTGCGACATAGATACTGTAGGCGAGCTACGCCATAATGCACAAGTCCGAGCCCTGACACCAAGAGAACAAGACAAACTCTTCGAGTATATTGAGAAAAACTTTCGACATGGTTAATACCGACAAGAACGAAAGCACCCAACGAGCTCAAAGATCATAATACTCCGCATCGAGACATCATTCCTGCAATAGTGACGACAGGCAGGTCGGTTTCATGGAAGAGTCTGGAACTACCGGACATCTGGAATGCAGATCAGCGGAAGTGCGCACACTCGCAACCTAGTACGGGAATAATTCAAATTGGTGGATCAAGGATAATGTATTATTGACAGGATAATACCTCCTAGATGGCTCCCACGGCCCTGGCCGGTCATCAGCCAGGGCGCCACTTCCCACATTCCCGCCACCGCGTCCGCTGGAATCCCTCTCCCAGACCATGTGAGAATTTGGCGACTAAATTTCTGTATATACAAAACCATGTCTACCTTACCAAAATGTGGTATTTTTACGTGCCATACAGGTCGTAAATTATCCCAATACGGATCTAAACCTAGTATAGAGTAGGCCGCGGGAGTGGCGCCGAGAAAGAGTTGAAGAGTGTAAATCAGGTAAAGCCGAACCTGCAAGGTGCTGTATATGTACCAAATTATCGCCTCACACTCAATTGACAGCCCCAGACTTTTCCGTCCCAGATCACACAATTCGCTTGGGGAATATTATTCCGGCTTCTTGCCTCCCTAATGGTGGTCCTCGGTCAAACTTACCATGGCCGTCTACGCAAGCAGTTCGTGACAGGCTAAGCATGGCCTCAGGTATGTTGAAAGTAGAGGCAGACGATTACTGGGGGGTTAAGCGCGAAGTGACTACGGCACGCATGAGGTAGAATAAACAAGACATGCATGCTCCGTCTTTCACTAGGGTCATTAAGTGGTATGGATATCGACCCAATGCAGGGCAATTGTATACCTGCAACGGAATAGAACCGACAACAGATAGTGATTCGCACCCGCCATGAAAGCGGGCTTGATTTACAGACCGACGTCATGGACAAGTTCGAATTCATATCTAGAAGGGCAGCGAGCAGTAGTAATGGGCAACTGGGCCACCAAAAAGGGGTCTTAAATAGATTTAGACACAGGAACAGAAGCATATCATGCAAGCCAAAATATTGCACTATGGTACGACGCATTATGCGGCAAAGTCCAGTAATAAATATTTGTCAAGCACTTCTTTTTACCTCTGTTTCAATTAGAAATGCTACACAAGCCCACTTTCTAAAGCTTTCATTCCACAGCAGGAACATACAACGCTGGCCTCAATAACATCATAATTTCTTCCTATGGCCTCAATATCTGCGGGATTGCCTTTCTCAACGGCTTCTCGTTTCATATCATCGAAGGCACCACTTTTGACGAAGCGTACGTAGGAAATTAGGTTGAGCTACTAGGGAAACCGTATATTCGGTGCTTCGGCCGTAGCAGGAATGGAATAGATTGATCATGGCCGGTCATGTAACCGAGCCGGCACTGCACAATGCTTTATGCCTGATTGATTATTTACTGGCAGAATTAGAAGGGGGAAGAATAATCGAGCTGTCCCCGTCTCAATTCTCTTCCCTCTACTTTCCCTATCCCCTTCTTCGCATCGTTTCTGTGCCCCTAATTTGCCTCAATGCTACATTTTTGTGCAAGCACAACAGAGGACAGACATACATAATTCTATAAAAGATCCAGCCGCGTTGTCAACAGAAGTGATAGATACATAAGTAACAGTGAGCACCAATTTCTTCAATAGAGCTTTCCACGTCAAATAGTCCGCAAGCCAAGTTTAGAGACAAAAGAACTTCTCCGCTATTTCTACCTTAGGCAAACAGGCTTGGAAATGTCTACACTCAACCTCAACCAAGCGTACACATACCTCGTCGAAGCTGGTCTCTTCCAGCATACTGGTAGGGGTGGCGCAAAAACAAACACGGTACCAGTGGGTATACAAAACGGCAGCAAGCTTGAAGCCGGGCCACTTGGCAACCTCAAGTCTGCAGTGAGTGAGCAGGTACAAAGGATTAACGACCCTGGAACCTTGAGCTTGCCAGCTCTAGAGGTCAGAGGTGGGTTGAATGCGGCGGATGTTCTAAAGAAAGCTGTGGAGGTAGCAGCGATCCTGAAAGTCGAGGGCGCTGAAGAGGCTTCGAAAAGTGCGTTACCACATCCTTGACAGTAGCTGTTGTTGGTGGGATAACTAATAGCAAGAAGAACTGATTACCATAATTAACGGCACTGACAACAACCCCACTGACAACAACCCCACTGACAACGACCGCACTAACAACGACCGCACTGACAACAGCGGCTCTGGCAACAACGACTCTGATGACAGCTCTGGCAAGACTGACAGAGCTCCATCCGATAGTATAGTGGACTTGGAAAACAGGTCAGCCAAATACACCTGGGACAGGCATGGATTACAATACGTGACCACCATCGAAGACGGTGACGAAGTCACCCTACTAGTCGAGGAAAAGACTGCGCGAAAGTCGGTTCGGTCAAAAGATGAGACAGTGAGCTACTATCACGTCGAGATCAAGGACCGGAAAACCGGGAAATACCAACGCCAAATAAAATCCGCTGCGGACGTAGAGCCGCTGTTGGATGATTGGAACAAATTAGAGAGAAAAATGGTGATCCATGCTGGGTCGAAGAAGGAGAAGTTTACCAGAAAGTCAACTGGGGGAGTGAAGAAGTTCCATTGGTTTGCTTGTCGTCGCCTGCAGAGAGGTAATAAAGATTCAATGGCGCGTGACGCTAATACGAAATGCTGCGTCGAGTTCAACCTCATAAAAGGGATAAAAGTTCTTCTCCTTAACGATCTGAGACATTTATCTGGGGAAACGAAGGTCAACGACTGGGTGAAGAAAACTGGAGGCAGGGACCGTCAACGACTACCAATGGAAGAGGAGCCCAGGAAATACGAAGAAGTGAATCTGGCCTATGATTCCGACCAGGGGCAACGCGGGCGAAAGGGGAAGACCTGGCGTCAAATCCAAAAGGAGTCTTATGCACGACGGGGTATTCCCCTCGGTGAGGAAGCCGCACCAATCCAGGGGGAGATAGAGAGCCGAGTCCAAAGAGTGGAGCAGCGCATTGACGGTCTTGCGAAAGACTTCGGGGATTATAAGGGGATCTTGGAATCTCTTGTTAAAACTATTGAAAGCACCAATACGAAGCTCGAAAAAATCGGTGAAGATAGACAGGAAACGAAAAACGCAATAAAGTCACTGGCCGAGCGAATCGACGAAATTTCAAGAGCACACGCGGTGATAGCGCCATTTCTGTCTAATCTGTTTCATAAGGTAGTGTATCTGCTTGCACTTTATGAAGTGGTCTGATTGTCGTGCTTTTGTCGCAAACAGTTATTGATGGAGGGACATGTGGAGGAATCTACTGGGGTAAAGCTACCACTGGGAAATTTCACTCTTGTAGGCACTGCACCATCTATGTTTTCTTAGAAGTACAGTATGGTACTGCGAATTCGGGATCTGGTAAGATGGCCTTATCCGCTAGAAGCTTGTTCGCAATCATAACTACTCCGTATATAGACGGCCGTTTAATCTCTACTTTAAAGCGTAAGGTAGAATCTATGAAACTTCCATGGATACGAATGAAGATACGTAACCCTACGTTTGCAATAATGGTGGGAGGCTTGAAATGAACCCGGAGAATAAGTCACCATATACTTGTAAGCATCTCCATTGTATCCTTAACATGGCATGAATTCGTTCAAAAGGCGGTCTCTGAAATCATGAAAGGGAATTATTTTGGTATGGCTGATCTGGATCGCCAGAATCTACGCCGGTTTCTATGAATTTCCCGGGCTCATACTGAGGAAGCTTCCATACTTGCCGGTCACCAGGAGGATTGCTAAAGTCGAGCAGAGCCTCCTTGAAATCCAAAAGGACTTTAGCTCCGACTGTGGAACACGGCAGAAAACTTCGAGATAGACAGACGCCTTCTAGAATAATTGAGATCACCAGTACTGTTTCCACTCGGAATGACCACACTAGTGTACCACTAGTCTCTTGCAGATTCCGAGAACTGGCATATCGCGTATAGAACCCACATCGGTCGATGGTGCGCCCCATGAGGGGGCTCCCACCTCTGTTTGCTTTCACTGCATGTACAGTTTGACACCCGAACACTCACATAGATGTTAGACTCCTTGCGCCAGCGTCCGAGCCGAACTGTGTTCCTCGGTCCAGGCAGGTCGCATTGCACCCTCGGCTATAAGACACCCCAAGAGGTGATACATTCCGAATCCGAGGGCCTTTGACCGGCCGCCCAAACCGACGCTGGCCCACCTCGGGGAAGTACACGGCATGAATGCTGGCTAAACCCTGCGGGTGAGTCCGGTTGTAAACACTTCCCTTTCAACAATTTCATGTGTTGTTTAACTCTCTTTTCAGAGTGCTTTTCACCTTTCAATCACTCTACTTGTGCGCTATCGGTCTCCGGCTAGTATTTAGCTTTAGATGAAATTTACCACCAATTTAGAGCTGCTCTGATCTTCATAACTATTATCTAATCTGAATTACCTCGGTTTCCTGCTTCCTTTACCCGGGTCTCTTGCTAACGCATAGATCCCACGGAACTCCAGCGGGATTTATGTCACTATATTTATATACTCATGCCCAGTGCACTCATAGCGGCTAGATACAATAAGTCTCAACCTGGATCTCCTCAATTCAACTCAATCATGACCATTCGAACCACCATTCACCGCGGGCCTCTAAACCCGTCTGCCATAATCTCGAACCCAATTCTGGAATTTTATGCCAAATACGCGAAAGACTTCAGATTCGCCAAATCCAGTACGCCGCCTACAGCCTACTATTCGACTGCATCCAAACTGATAAATACCGATGCCACCATCATATTCGGGGCACAGGCAATCTGGGATTACTATATTGCTCTCTACGGGCAGTTCGAGCGCTGCGAGTATGAGGTGATCTCGCTGACCGTGATCCATGATGATGAAACCGGGAAACATACCCTCACTGGGGAATTCTTGAACACACTGCATTTAAAGGACAACAAAGGGACAGTTACACTTCCCCAGACTTTTATCTATGAGATTGCGAATGCTGAGGAAGGATGTGGGACGGATGGGTTGCAGATTTGGGAGGTTAGGTGTTATTTTGATAGGGGGATCCTGCATGGGGCAGCAACCCTGTAAAATTTGTGCTAATAAACAATGTGCGGCGATAATGGTCTGCTAATATTTCATCATCTATGGCCAAAATAATCATATTTGGGTTATTACCGTTGACTGTTGTGTTTCGCTCAAGGAGCCTGGCTTTCAGTAAACCATGTTCGGCCACTAGGGAGGTGGTCGATGACTCTATCCTTAGCATTTTCGAGGATTTCATTTGGCGGGTTGTCGCTTGAAACGAATGAGCCATAACTTTCAGACATTACCTTCGTATCCTGGCCGTTACCCTGCATTGAGTCTCAATGTATAGCCTACTCCAGTAGAATGCATGCCCATTCTCCATATTGGAAAGAGTATCCATTAAACGCTGAAGTTCTGTGTTGGTTGTCCGGTGTCAACAATAGCATGAGCAGATCTCTCCCACTATGATCTACGTGTCGAAATGTATTCGCTGCACTGACTTTATTATGTCCTTATATAGAGAGCTTTGTCGGGTCCCTGTGGAGGGCTGAGCTGCTTGGAGGTGGCGGGCGTGAGAGAATAGTAGGATAAAGGAAAACACACACAGCCCAATTGAGCAGGGTTCACTCGACGGCTGATCAATCTCCCTTCCTCATGCATGCGTACAAGCGCAACTCCTTCCGCCCTAATCTCGCACCTGTTATGAGAGGAAGCAAACATTCCGCCCCTGCCGACGAGGTCAGCGATTCGGGGGAATCGATCATCGACGTCGTATATAGTAGCATAGACAACCATGACATCATCAGATTTGGGAGCCACTGCCTTGAAATGGTTTAGAGGGTGTGATGGGGGTTCCGATGAAGAGGTAATGTATATATACTTGAAAGTACATAGTAATTATGTGGAGTCTATGGGGAGAAAGATTCTGTACACAATATCATATCTCATTTGTTCATAAAGCACATCTCTCCCTCCATTATGATTTCACAGTGTTATTATTAGGTGAACTTCATAGTATACATTATTTACGGGCACGTCCATGCCTCAGGAAAGACATAATTTCAACAGCAAATGCATCGACGGACTTAAATTCTCCTGGGGATAATCAGTACTTGATATAAATCTACTTTCATTGATCATTATAGCTATATGCATTAAGAGAAAGCTCATTCTACTTTCCGAAATCTGGTATTATGTCACGCAGCCCATTTAATATCATTATAAAGAAAAGAGAGGTATCTTTTCATTGAAAGCTGTTCTTCTAGGACAATATCAAATCAAGTAGGGTTGAACTTCCTATTATCAAACCCTCTCCATGAAGTAATAATGATACAACACAGTCAAAACTGTCACAAAATCCCAATACAGACATAGTAACCCAACCACAAACTGCTACAACCAGTTCCAACCGTCGGATTCCACTCATAGAACTCATCCAACGTGATGTTGGCATCCTCAGCAATAACAGCGCAACTATCCCCGCTAACAACAAGATGGAAAGAGTCACAGTCATCCACCATGCCGGACTGGTAGGGAGTAGGGGTCGTCACGCCGTTGCCGCTGGTGGTAGTCGTAGCAGCAGAAGTAGTCATTATAGCCACAGTGGTAGTTGTAGTCATAGTAGTCCCGCCGATGATTCCTACACAGACATAGTAGCCCAGCCACAGTCCTGAACAGCCAGAGCCAACGGTTGGATTCCAGGTCTCGAAATCCGTGCCTGAGATGCCGGCTGCGCTGGCAATGGAGGCGCAGCTATCCCCGCTGACGACCAGGTAGAATTCATCGCAGTCGTCCACCATGCCTGATTCATAGGGGGTAGGGGTGCTGATTCCGTTTCCGGTGGTGGTAGTAGTAGTAGTTGTTGTGGTGGTGGGCGTTGTGGTAGGCGTGCTTGCCGCGGCAGTGGAACTTGCGCCTCCAACAATACCGACACAGACATAGTAGTCAAGCCAGAGACCAGAACAGTCGGAGCCGACGGTGGGATTCCAGGTTTCAAAGTTGGAGACGGATATACCTGCGGAACTGGCGATCGCTGCGCAGGTGTCGCCACTCACCACAAGGTGGAAGGCATCGCAATCAGACACCATTCCTGTCTCATATGGAGTAGGCGTGGCGATGGCACTTGTAGATGCTGAGGTAGTTGCTACTGTTGTAGCTGAGGTGGACCCTGCCGATGTAGTTGTGAAGGGATTTGACGAGCTCACGGTGATGGTCGTATAATTGACCTGTACACAGTAGTACAGGCCGGGGATCAGAGTACAGCCTGTGCTGAGTTCAGTAACGATTGGGTTCTGCTTCACAGTCAACATGAGTTGGTTCATTTCGTGATTAATATTTGAAGTGGTCTCACCCATTCCTCAAATTGAGCTTCTGTCATGCCAAACAACTGCTCAATCAGCGCGCATGTCAGGCTGGAGGAATATTCAATCCATTCGCTGCAGTCAGCTGTGGTCCCTGGGGCAGCAGTACCTGGTGGCGAGACCAAGTATGCCCCTACAAGGGGGGGACATATTAGCATGCGCAAAACCGGGGAGAGTTTCATTGTGGAAGAATGGAAACAAGAATAGCTGATACTATTTCACTCCACTGAGAAAGTCTCCTAAAGATAGGCCGAGGCTGGCGAGTGATTTATTATTGTGTCGACGCCCAGTCACGGCTACATAGATTGCATTATGGAGGAATTCCTGCCCATTAGCCAACCGGATAATTAACTATATTGCAAGGAAATTACAGCTGTATCTCCGCCACTGATAAGTTCTACAGGATGCATGCTAAACTACGACCACATGTCGCTAGTATTGAGGAACATGAACTAAACATTGTGCCTGGCAAGTACCAGCGGGGCACTCATTCCAGCTACCCCTCGGAGATAATAAATTAAAGTCGTTGCTCATGACTCAATCTGCATCCTGAATCAGGTGTTTTCTCCGAGCTGGATAATCAAATGATCCCTACCCCTGCATAAATCACACAGCTGAGGAAGAAAGCTGACGCGTCTATCAATAATCTGGGGTCAGGCCAAGCCCTAACATGCAAGTAAGACCAGACTATTGGGTGCCAAGCTAGCTTAACTTGGCTTAAGTCGCCATTCCACAGGCTTATTTCATCCATAGAAGAATTTAAGCCGTTCATCATTAGTTTAATCCTGCGTCTATCAGTCCATTTTCCATCTTTCATCCCACCATGTCCCTCCCCTCACTTCCAACGGAAATCCTATGCCACATTGCAGAGCACATAGAATCACTCCAGGCCCTTGGTGCTCTAGCCCGCGTGAACCGCCAGTTACATGTCATCTTCGATCCTGTGTTGTATCAAAGGGATGCCCGGCATCCTCCTAGTGCAGCAGTCAGCTGGGCAGCAGAGCGTGGAATGATGCATCTCCTGCAAAAGTCCATCAACTACGGAGCCGAGATACCCGTGCGTTCGCAAATTGGTCGATACTGCATCTCTGAGGGGCGGGTTGTGTATGGTAAGATAATCCGCCATCGCTTTACGGACTGCCCGCCACCACATCCTCTCTGTCTTGCCGTCAAAAATGGACATGAGGAAATAGCCAGGCTTCTCCTAGCGCGGGGTTGTGACCCGAATATGGAGACCCCTGACCGATATTCCTTGCTATCGCTTGCAGTCATCCGTAGTCATGCAGGCCTAGTCAAGATGCTTCTGAGTCTAGGTGTAGACCAGAAATCTCGGCTTCCCACGCACAACAGCCCGATTCAAATTGCCGCTTTCCAGGGAAATGAGACCATAGTGGACCTACTACTCCACCATAGCTCACAGCGCCTGCACCATACCAGCGAGCTACGAAACGCACTCGAATGTGCCTTGAAAGAAAGTCACAAGAACATCATCTACCAGCTGGTAACATACGGAGAGAACCTAAACACGGCATTCGAAGACTGGTCCGGCAAAACCCCGCTCGTCTGGGCGAGCGAGCAAGGTGATGTTGATCTTGTTAAGCTGTTCCTGAGCCATGGCGCAGACCCCAACTACCACGACTACGACCACGAAACTGCATTGGTCAAGGCGGCCGCCGGCGGCCACGCCAATGTCGTCAGCCTCTTGGTAGGCAAGACTGACCGGATGTCGCGGACTCAAGCGCTTGCTCTGAGCATGGATTACCCTGATGGACGCGTCGCCCGGATCCTGCTAGAGCACGGGGCCCTTCCTGACTTTGTTGACCAGGATTATGCAGATTTTCCATACAGCCCTCATCGTACCATGGGAGAACAGAAGGATTATCAATTGATTCCTCCCCTGGTGCGGGCTGTGAATGCCGGACATGCGCACCTAGTGCGATTACTGGTTGCGCATGGGGCCAATGTCAACGCTTTCTACGAGGGTCTTGTGCATACGCGGTCCTCTCGGTCGAGCGGCTCGGTGCTGCAGCTGGCGATGGATCTGAATGGTCAGGATACTGTGAAATACCTGCGGGATCACGGGGCAGTCGTAGAGGTTGAGAGCCCGTTCGACAGGCTCATGAAGCGTTTCCGCAATTGCACATATCCTGGTCCTGCGATTAGCCGACAATCCAATCAGAATAGACGGATGTTATAAACTGGCTCAGCAGATAGTGAATTTGGAGTGTCCAACTCCTTGTGCAGGCTAGGTGTATTTGGGATGTGCTTCGTCCTGTCTTAGAATTCACTAGATTAGAAATTCATAAACATGAACAGACAAGGCTTGCAAAGATCCTTGCCAACAGAACAGGTCTAGGTAAGCCCGTAATAGTAGCCGATAGCCGACATCCAGAGCCAACAATGTAAGACTGCTCAGCCTCATGGGATTGGACATGCATATAAATTAAACTAGAGCATGCTAGATCCTTCATTCCATCCTAGTCTCCACTAAATTAGATGGTATATTTCACTTGATTAAGTTAGGTCGACAAAGATTTCCCACTTTCTTTGATGAATAAATCATCTACCAAGATCTTCCACCATCCAGGGACAAGTATGCAGCCATCCCTTACGTACTCGCCAAGTATACACCTCATAGAGTTTGCCAGCCGTTGGGCGGGATGAATGCAACAGCTGAACTGCCCGAAGGAGCGTTCTGATACAGATAAGAAGCCAGAGAGAAAAACACATAGGGCTCTGGAGCATTGACAACCGAGGCTTTTTTGGCAGTGAAACTGGCGTCCAGGATTATTAAGGATCCATACACTAGGAGACAGGGTTAGCTGTAATGTGTCTGACCAGTCTGAAATAGAACAAGGAAACTTACATCCTGAATCGCTATCTGTCCCCGCGCTATCAACCAAGTGGAAAAGTTCATGGTACAAGGTGCAGCTGATGGTCGAGTACGCCTCTGGGAGAATGCGAGCGTTGGCCACGGGATAGACTGCAGAAGTGACCAGCTCTGCCAGCGTAGCGGTGCCGTGATACTGGCTAGGGGGTGAGAACGTCAACGGACAGAGCAGGATATGCCGGTTGAACGAGGCGAAGGTGAAGCCGTCGAGATTACCTGCCTCGGTGCTGGGGCTATCATCAGCCCGACTGGTCCAGCCGTACAGGGCGTCTTTGGTGCAGATCTTTTCAGTTCCCACGGCGGAAAAGTCGTAGCCTTTGAGGTAGTCAACCCAGTACGGCATGATCTTGCTCGCGTCCTCATCTTCATCGATCTCCCCAGTCTCCTGCAACAGTTTGATTTTGGGGTAGACATCGGCAATGGTGTAAGTCTCAACGATGTTGCCCTCATCATCGCGCTTCCTTACCATTTCCTCGCCAGATCCGTCCCTGGCGGTTGTTTCCCAGGTCTTCTGGACTGCGAAGTCGTCGCTGCAGAACAGACTCGGTTTGTCGGAGCTTTTGGCATTGACCAGTCCGCCGCCGCTGAGGAATAGGGCGACTCCGGCCAAACGCGCTGTCCGTCAGAATCCGTCAGCCTTTCTCAGTCATGCTTGTGCCATAAGTAGATTATATGCCCACTCTCAATAGTACTCCATCTGTCCGTAAAAAATTCATCAACCTCGACTGGGTCTTCGAACTCGTCAAACTCCATGCTCAACCACGTAGCGAACATCTTACGATACGCGGCATCATCTTGCCAGTTGTGGTACGCTGTCAGGGCGGCATTGATCAGCTTCACACACTCGGCGAGATGGGCGTCAATCGTGGAGATGCGGCCGGCTTTGTCACAGCTGCCGTCACCCAAATCGAAGAGTTCAGACGTCGTGAGGGTAACGGCCACTTCCGTTGGAACATCGACAGCAATAGCACAATTCCATAAGGATGACGCATATAGTAGGAGCAGTGGCAGTCTCAACATGGTGGCAATTCAAGTTGAAACTTTCAAAATCTTGGAGAAAAGGAAGGCCAGGAAGGGAGCCAGTAGTGGGTAGCATAATATCAGAGAATGGGACGAGAGTAGCTGAGCAGAGATATAGATTCAGCTGAACACTGGGGCAGAGCACAGAGCCCAAGACCTGTTCTTCTTTCTCCTTCATAGTTGCTTTACAGGGATTGATAACAGACCAGCCACAACGCATGCTAGGCGCTACTTACTGATATGATTAAACTAATCCCCCGCCGGACCTGCATCCACCGTCGAGGGAATACAATGCCTGTCTCGGGGCTACTAGGAGTACGCGTCAGTCGATCCTTCTTCTGCTAGGCGCGGAAATTAATCAATTAGGTACATACATTGCTTTCTCATCAGAAGGATGGCTGGTACCCAGCAAGTACTCCCAGGGAGTAGTCACTACTACTCTCTAGAGGCGCTGATGGTGATTACGCGTACTAACAGGGAAGGAAATAGATTAAGGATAGAGGGTTTTACATACAGATATACATTGGCTTACGGAATATCTCTCGCCCAGCCAAACTGGGACGTCTTCCACCTTGAATAGACTGCCAACCGGGCGACTCTTGATATTGCGCCTTGCTGCCTCCCTCTCATTTTCCCCCATCTTCATTTCTCTCCATTCTTTGCTTTTCTCCTATGTTTCTTTCCAGTCCGTGACTTTGTGCTCCTCATTCTGCCTGGGCTCTGCCCAACGAATCTTCTAGTCACCATGCTACAACCAACCATCATGAATTTCATTCTTGTGACACTCGCCTGGTCTATTGCCAGCACTCTGGCACTGAAGGCATCCATCACCAAGGCCATGGATGCCTATATCGCGGCTCATCCTATCCCCACGCTCTCTGTGGAAACCATACAGAGTGTTAAGGCCACTAGCAACCATACCAGCGTGTTGCAGGGCGACTGGGCCTCTGGACTCTCCAATGCAACCCGCCGTCGCTGCCCAGACCGCTGCAGTAGTCTCGGCCTAGATCCCACAGGATGGCCGGTCTACCACAGCGTGGATCGTCTGGGCTGGTGCAACCAAACAATGCTTCTCAACTTTGCCCTCTTTAATCCGCTCGATGACCTCAAGACCCATGCTAGGATTGCGGCTTGTGTGGCAGACCTCTCTGATGACTCCGGGGCCAGCACCGACTCAACCGCCGTTAGTGTCGCATCGTGTCTGCCAGATACAAATGCAAACAAAACCACCAGCGTGACTGGATCCTTGCAACTGTCCTCGTCCGCTTCCAGCAAATCTGGTAATGCTTCTGCAGTGATCGCTGCCCTGAACGAGCTGCAGGCACTCTCCCTTCTCCGCGAGGACGGATGCAACGAGAGCATCCAGTTTGCCTCGTCCGGTCAGGCAGTTGTTGGTGTCTATTCTGGCTCTGGCTTTGCGGGCCAGTCCGTCCTATCGTCCGTTCTGGAGCAACTGGTCGACCACGTGCAGAGCGATGGCATAGGCAGCGACCTCATCGCCCAGCTCTGCGACTTACATCAACGATCTTCTCGGTACTCGTTGGGAGTCATGGCTCACATGGGGCCAGACTTTGCCTCAGTGCAGCAAGCCGTTCAAGCATGGAAGAACAACAGCTGTGTTACCACTGCCGCTGACCAGACAGTCGAGAGCTGGAAGAATGTGACCTTTCTGGCTCCAGTCATGCCTCCGAACTCGACCAATGGCACTTCCCTGGCTGCTCGATCCCTACGTCTCTCGCGGTTGAATCCTCGCGACACCTGCACCACAGTCCAGGTCGTGTCTGGTGATACATGCGCCTCTTTAGCGTCCGAGTGCGGCATCACGGGCACCGAACTCGAAGAGTATAATACTGCTGATGATCTCTGCTCTACATTAACTGTTGGAGAATATGTGTGCTGCTCCGAGGGTACACTTCCTGATTATTCACCCCAGCCTGACGATGACGACAACTGTTATGTCTATCTGGTGCAGACTGGAGATACCTGTGACTCCATTGCCGCAGCTTATGATACCACCACTGCTAAAATCGAGACCTACAACAACGACACCTGGGGCTGGATGGGCTGCAGTGACTTGCTGGTGGGCAACAACATCTGTCTAAGCTCTGGCTGGCCGCCGATGCCTACTGTCATTACCAATGCAGTCTGTGGTCCCCAGGTAAATGGCACCCCAACGGCACCTCATGGTACAAACCTTAGTACCCTGAATGAGTGTCCTCTCAATGCCTGTTGTGATATCTGGGGCCAATGCGGCACCACCGCGGAGTTCTGCACCATCTCGCAGTCCTCAACTGGCGCCCCCGGTACAGCTGCGCCAGGCGAAAACGGATGTATTTCCAACTGTGGCACGGATATTGTCCTCACCGGCTACCCCTCGGACATCTACTCAATCGCCTACTTCGAAGGCTTTGACTGGTCGCGTCCGTGCCTGACCATGTCCGTCAGTGAGATCGATACCAGTTCCTACACGCATATCCATTTCGCGTTCGCCACCATCAGCACCGACTACACGCTTAATATCAGCTCCATTGAGGCACAGCTCCCCTTCTTGACTGCTTTGAGCGGGGTCAAGCGCATCCTGAGTGTCGGTGGATGGGACTTTTCCACCAGCCCAGACACCTATATGATCTTCCGGGACGCCGTCACGTCTGCCAACCGGGCCACGCTGATTCAGAGTGTTGTCGATGTCTTGGAGAAGTATGATCTAGATGGTATCGACTGGGACTGGGAGTATCCAGACGAGCCAGATATCCCTGGTATCCCTGCCGGAACCGCGGCAGACAGCACCAACTATTTCGTCACGCTGGATTTGCTCAAGGCCGCGCTGGATGGAACGGGCAGAACAATCTCTGTCACTGCACCAGCGTCGTTCTGGTACCTCCAGAACTTCCCCATCCAGGCAATCAGTGACGTGGTGGACTACATCGTGTACATGACCTATGATCTCCACGGACAATGGGATTATGGCAATGCATATGCGGATCCTGGCTGCTCGGGGGGCAATTGTCTCCGCTCGCACGTCAATTTGACTGAAACGATCAACTCGCTCTCAATGATCACCAAGGCTGGAGTGCCAAATACCCAGATTGTCGTTGGAGTGGCCAGTTACGGCCGGTCCTTCAAGATGACTACTTCTGGTTGCTGGACTGAGATGTGTACCTACACCGGACCAGATTCGGGCGCCCTGCCTGGCATATGCACAGAGACGGCTGGCTACATCGCCAATGCTGAACTGGAGACTATCATTGCGGAGAATCCCACGGCGGAGGTCCACTGGGACACTGATTCGTTCAGCAACATCCTCGTCTACAATGACACAGAGTGGGTGAGCTACATGAATGACTCGAACAAGGCCATCCGCATTCTCCTGTATGAAGTTTACGGGTTCCTAGGAGTGGCCGATTGGGCCGTTGACCTGCAGTCCGAGGGGGACAGTTCGTCGTCCTCTTCCTCAGATGACAACTCTACCTCGATGGCCTATATTGGTCCAACCATCTGGAGTGAATCTACCCCGGTCGTGACGGGTATGCCAGGTGAGACGTTGGTCTGGCCGCCTCTGCAATTGTCCGGCACCACCACGATCAGTTTTCCACTCTGGACCACGGTGTTGTCTTTTTCTACTCTGTCAACCAGCACTTATACGGATTCGGATGGCTCCACATCGACTGATCTTGTATATGACATCCTGACCATTCCGACTGTCATTACCGTTCCTCCAGGTCAGTATCTTCTCTCCTGTCCTGGTGATGTTGTTAATTGATTCTAACTGATCTACTATCAGTGACTACGACTGCGATTCCCGTCTGGAACGTCATTCTTCCAACTGATACCACCGACGGCGGCATCGAGCTGACTAGCTCTGTGCAGCCGCCTACATTTGCCATTACGATTACCCCGTAAGCTTTGAATGCTCCCATACCATCTTAGCAACACTAACACTGTGAAAGGGTTTGGGAGGGCACCACGTCCATTGCTGAGCCCACCAGCACAACACAAAACTCCACTGTTGTTGCATGGTACAGTACGACATATGTCATTCCACCTGTCACCGAAACAGTAGGCTCCAGTACTACCATCACAGGCGGCACCACAGGGACCCCAGTCCCTATCATCATCACCCCGCATCCCTATCCCACAGAAGTGACCTCAACCCCCGACCCTAATCTCAACACAAAGTCAACCTCATGGACATCGGGCACCTCTGCGTCGCCGTCCTGTGGCACTGGCGAGATCTGCGGTATCCCATGTATGTCGTCCCTTTTACCCCTAGCTTCCACCTTGCCCAACTAACTATTTGAACAGGCCTGTTGTGGTGCAACTCCGGCTGCCCCTTGTGTCCCCCCGGCCTCTTCGGCAGCACCAGCGGCGGCGGAAGTTCCAGCGGCGATGACTCAAGCGATGATTCCTCTAGCTCATCCTCCTCCTCCTCCTCAACAACAACCTCGACAGCAACTTACACAGCAGCGGGCTTCCACCTCGGAGAAGCAGATATCCTTCCCACTAGCATAGACGACTACAGCAGCTTCGAGGCCTCCTCGTCAGCCTACCAGTCCGCCTACGACAGCCAGTTCCCCAGCACCGCAACCTCCACCACAATCAAGTCAACAACCAAGTCAACAACCACCAAAGCAACAACCACAACAACCGAGTCCACCAAGACGACCACCTCAACAACCTCAACCTCCACATCCACAACTAGAAAGTGGGTCTCCTTTTACCTCTTCGAGGAGTATACCGGCATCTCCTGGATCTTCGAATGGATGGTCATCGACAGCATCGGCGGGGTGGAGTACGACCCGTGCGAGGTGAGCCCTGACGCCGAGACCACCGCTGACACTGTCTCGCCGAACCCGGATTTCCCGGATAGTGATATCGGCCCGTTCGAGGCGCATGGGATCTCCGGGTGCCAGTACACGGCGGGCAAGGATAATACCGTTGGGACGTTGACTTGTCCCGGTGTGGATGGGATTACGTGTGCGAAGGATAGTGATTATGGGGAGCTATTTGAGTGTGATGGGCCGGTTATGGTCTATGTTATGGCGTGTTATTGGGATTCGTGAGGCCTATCCCAAGCATGAAAGCATATAGTGCATGGCCAATATTCATGACGCACCCCAGTTCATTAGGCAGTAGTACTCGCCCATTGCGCGCTGATTTGTACAGAAACATGAGGGATCAAATATATAGCCATCAGAGACTTTCTCTATTTCAAATAATATCCTCGTGACCATATAGGATTCAGTACTATTACACATACACTATCCCCGTTGGGATCAGCCAAGGCGACTTGACATGTTCCAACCTCACCAAAGTGAACAGTGCATTATGAAAAGGGCTTCAGACTTAGGTGTAGCTGGCTAGGATACTTCCACATGGAAGTGTCTCAATTGCACCCACTTCCTCCCCAGCAAGGGGGTGAAAAATTGCGATTCTTTGTCTACTGTCAGGGCTTTGCCACCTGATGCCCCTTAATCAATATTGACCCATATATGCAGGGATGTGATCCTCAGGACACTGTACACCGTCCTACTCTGAGCACGAAAGCTTACCTCGCATAGTCACGTGGTTTCTGTTTTGTCTTGAAAGCAACCTGCACTCCTCTCCGTCCCCTGAATTCCACATGTCCACGATTTCGATATTGACATCCATGCGTTAGGGAGCTTTCCAACATTCCAATCCATCCTATCCCTCATAGCTTCGACTATTTTGCATTCTTGAGCTGATATTTTACCCACCTCTGAGGCTCCGTGCCAAGTATGCAACCACGCCTGCGCTACGACGATGTCGCCTGGGAGAAAAGCGAAGCCGTCGCCGATGGGTGGGTTCGCCAGTTTTTTGAATGCGAGATCCTACAACTTGTTGGCAGATTCCTGGTCAGACACCATCGTCCTGGCGATGCTGTCGAATTCAGTTTTCTGGAGAAAGGCGCATACAACATCTCTTTCCAGATGAAGTACAAGAATGCAAACACTGCCATAATACGTTTCCCCCAGCCAGGTGCCACCATGTTTCCTGAAGAGAAAGTCCGTAATGAAGTCGCTACCATGCGATACATTTGCAATCAGACTTCAATCCCCATTCCTTTTGTCCACCACTGGGGGACAAGGAAGGAGAGTCCTCTGGAATTAAGTCCTTTTATTATTATGGACTATATTGACCATGATACAAACATGTATGATGCTCTTAACACGCCTGGGTGCCCAAAGGAAGATCGTGGAACTCTTGACCCGGATATCAGTGAAGCAAAATTAGAGGCTCTTTACGGAGAGGTTGCAAGTATTTTGCTTCAGCTTTCTCGACCAGCTCTACCCCAGATAGGGTCACTAGACCAGGTTGACGATTTCACCTGGAGAGTGACACATAGACCTTTATCAATTCCTATGAATACTCTGATTCAACTGGGATCCTTACCCCAATCGAAACTACCAACCACGACATTCAACACCACGTCCTCATACTTTGAAGCCCTAGCGGAGCTGCACATCGCTCACCTTATGAACCAGCGCAATGATGCAATTGACTCAGCCGAAGACTGTCGGCGCAAGCTTGTTGCTCGATATCTTTTCCGCAAACTCGCCAGAGAACATCATTTAACAAAGCAGTTGGCATCCTTTGATAAAGGCCCGTTCAAACTTTGGTGCGATGACTTCCGCCCAGCTAACATCCTCATGAACAAGGAGCTGAAAATTGTCGGCGTTGTAGACTGGGAATTCACATATGCCGCCCCAGTCGAATTCTCCTTTGCGCCACCTTGGTGGCTTTTGATTGAAAAGCCTGAATACTGGCCTCGAGGCCTTGACGACTGGTGTAGCGAGTATGAACGACGCCTTCAAACCTTTCTCAGCGTGATGAGATACCAAGAGGACCAGGCAATCGAACAGGGCTGGCTAAAGAGTACGCAGCGGCTCTCTGGCCTGATGCAAGATAGCTGGGAGAGTGGAGACTTCTGGATTGCGTATGCGGCAAGGAATAACTTTGCCTTTGACTTGGTATACTGGCACAAGATTGATCAGCGATTCTTTGGGCCGACCTCTTCTCCCATCGACGATGTTTGGAAGCAGAGACTTGATTTCTTGGAGCCTGAAGAGAGAGCTGATATCGAAAGAATCGTGGCGATAAAGCTCGAAGAGATGAAGACTCGGTCATTGGCTTGGGACCCGGACGATTACACCAAGGAGGTCGCAGAGAAAGGCTCTGAGGGTAACGCAGCTAATGGAGACGAAAACGGAGGACCTGAAGCTGGAGCAGACGACGGTGGTGATGTTGCATTGACTATCACAGTGAATACATACAACACTTAATAGAAATTCTTAGCAGTTATCTATATTCAGGCTAGGCTGCTAAAGACGGACCCTTCGAAGCGACTCTCGCCTACATCATACACTTGAAAGTAATAACAGCATATGTAAGGATGCTGTCCCCATTGAGCGCCAGAGCGAGGGTGTCAATTGTTACCCTTTCAATTTGAAAATACCGATAGACGCTACATGCAAGTGCTAGGGAGGTGTCGGTAGTCTGCCACTCAGAGGATTGATGGTCGTCCATCCAGCTTGGTTTTGTAACTCGCCTGTCAAGATTTCAATGAAGTCCATCTTTATGAGCAATCCCACACATTCTTTATTTTTTTTCTCGCTGTTTTCGATCTACCCCTAGGCAGATCATCAGACTCATCCGACTGTCAACTTGTTTGTATCCAACAGTTAGAGCTATATCTGGCCCTGGACAGTGTCCTGGTTAAAGTTATTATCTAGGTAGCTGCAAAGGACTTTCTTGGGGTATATTAGTAGGCGCTTAAGTCTGTGTACAGTAGCATTAGTACCACTTGTTATATAGACAGCTATGACTTACCTCTTGCGCACTGGGCGAATTTTGCTTGTGAATTTGCTAAGGTCCACGCACGTATCTGATTCAAATCGACTCAGGGCTGGTGTTGCCAGCCTACGATGAGCGAGTATACATCGTCTCACTTGAGTTTGTCCCCCCATGGCAAGCATTTTCAAAGCACATAATCTGAGACTTGCTGGTGGGAAACTGTTGCCTTTGCTTATTTTATTGAGTGCCGATTCGCTGGGGGAGGTGCTTATCAGATCTATCCGATGGCTGCGGACGTGCTCCGAGGGCGCCGCGACAAGGCAGGAGCGACGCTGGCTCCTTCCTGTCACAGAAGAACTAAGATGGTTGTTCCTTCCTCATTCGGAGTGTAATGTGTGGCTATTCAACAAGAAGGGGAGGCGCGGCGGAATTGGCGACCTTCGATTGCTTCTGTGGTGAATTTATTATATACAGTCGCCAATTATACATACCGCCCGCATGACACCAATTTTTAGAATCATGACTCTGATGGAATTGCGACTGAAGGCTTGGATCTCATTCTAAGGTATAATGCTATTACTTTCTGATCAAACGCAGATCAGCTGACTCCATTAGATGTCATTCAAAAAGACAACTACGAAATGCTTCAACCGGTCATCTGATGGCACTGCTGAGCTGGGGATCAACTACTATTTCGAGTCCTTCCGCTAGCAAACGCTCACAGAAATCAGGCGCTTGTTTGCTTTGGTTGAAGAAAAGGATGCCCTACTAGTTTACCTGCCATTTTTCTCGCATCTGGATGCCAGACAAGCATTCCCTTGGTGAGTTCTAGAAAAGCTTCCCTCTCCTCTCCCTTAAGGAAGGAAACTGTGTTGTCTAGTTTCTAGTTAGGGATCAGGTCTTTATAGAGAAAGTGACCTAAGATATTTCATAAGTCTGAGAATAATTTATTCAAGATAGGAAACCTAGTAATACTATTATTATTAAAGAATAGCCTATAGAAGTACTCCTCTATAGTCTTATATACTTTATTATCTTTTTATCTAATAGGTTCTAGCTATAAGTACTCTTATATATATTAATACCTTTATATAATCTCTAGAGGGGGTGGACTAAGTAAGGCTATTATTTTAGTAATATATAGTTTAGTATTATAGTAACCTTATTAATTATAGATATGCTAAAATAGCTCTTTACCTTTAACTATATTCTATAACTAATCTAGTATTAGTAGATATAATAACTTTAGAGAATAATAGGATATACTAGAACACTAAAATTCTAAATATCTATAGGCATTTACTATCTATTATCTAGTATTACCTCTAGCATCTAATAGTAGTCTAGCTAAATAAGCTAGATGCCTTAGTTATTATCTTCCTTAAGTCTAGTTACTAAGCTAAAGTTAACTAGCTATAGTATACTTCTTAGGCTTTTAGGTAGCCTAAAGTTAACTAGCTATAGTATACTTCTTAGGCTTTTAAGTAGCCTAAAGTTATTATAAGACTAATATACTAATTATCCTATTAAATTAATCTTAAAAGGTATTAGCTTTTTAAGCTAAGAATCTATAAAATTAGTAAGTATAGTTAGATCCTTAAATAAGATTATAATATTTTTAAGCTTTAGATCTAGGCAGCTACCTAGGCTTAGTATTACTAATAGGAAGTAAGGCTAATATAAACTTATCTATATAAACTATCCTACATTCTTTATAAAGGTAATTAAGCCTTGTAAGAAGAGTATAAATGTAGCGGGCAAGGCCCGCTGAATGCTCGAGCTCACTGAGCACTCGCGAACTGCCTCAGGCAGGCTAGGTCACGTGATTCTGTACTAAGTAATGTCGTGAACAGCCATGTCACGTGACCCCGTTTCTCCCTCGCACACCCCTCTTCGTGTTCGGCCGCTGCGGCCCCAGTTAGAACCTCTTAGCGATTTCTTACCGTCCAAACCTAGGTTATAGGTTGAATCGGCTTCTAGCCCGTGACAATAAATATATATTTTAATAAGGGGTAGTAGTATCTTTCTATTATTAAAGCACCACTAATATATTAATAATAACTCCCTTATAGGTGGATATATAAGATATAAATAAGAACCCTCTGGACCTTTAACTTTAAAAGAGTCTAGTAATATTTAGATAAGTAAATAACTATAATATAATAGGTCTGCTATAGAAATATACTCTTTAACCTTATGCTTATAACTAGTAGAACTTATATTATTATTAGTAATTTTTAGTACTATAATGCTTACTAGCTCTTTGATATACCTATATATTTATTAGAGATAGAGAATGCTTTAAATTAAATAGAAATTATTAAAGGCTACCCTTATAAATTATATATAAGCTATACTATTAAAGACATGCCCTAGCTAACCTTAATCAGGGTTTAGTAATAATTTATAAGTAATTCCCTAGGCTTTACTAGATAGAAGTACTTAGAATTATATACTAGCAAGATCTCTTTATTAATAAGGATGCTGGGCAGTAAAGGTGGCCTGGGAGAAGGCATAGGAAATGCTTTCTTATGAAGCAAGGCAGACTAATAAGGAATAGACAGCCTTATAGTATTCATTATAGAGTTAGTCCCTGTCTGCTAACAGGAGAATGTGATATTAATAGTTGTTAAAATGGCTGGTAAACATGATCACGTGGCATGGTACTTGGGAAGTGACTATTCCAGATACAGACTAGTGTAAAACAAGCTGTCAGCTAATGAGATCATCAGATGCTTCCACAGCTTGGTAGACAACCATACCTTGCTAAAGGCCACGACTATGCTGTGTGGAGAGGGCAAGGCCTTTGAGAGAGATGGGCAAAGCTCAGAGCCTCAGATGTCATAGTAAGCCGGTTGGAATACCTGCCTCATCCTCGCACAACTTTGACGCCAAACAATAGTAGCATGTCGGAATGCTTCAGTTAGTCAAGAGAACATATTAGCTACCCCCAAGGTGTCTCCTGCTTCTCTACAGTTCAACAGCATGTAGGTGACTAATGATTATTTATATTACTACTGATGAATACTGGTGATTAATCAGGCACTGCCCCAAATTTGGCGCCATAGTGGAAACTCATCTAGCACTAAGTAAGCACCTACTTATAATATAGATTGTTTCAGCCTCTAGCGAAGCCTTAACTATAGCTATGTAGAGTATGAATTATATCCTATTATTTCTAAGTTTTACTAGATAGCTGAAACCTAAAAGTTATAAAGATAGATAGGTGGAGCAGGCGGTAATATAACTAATTTAGTAGATTAAGGGGGTGTTAGTGAATATATAAGAATAGTTATAATTAAAAGTACCTATACTTAGTTCTAATATATTATAGAAGGATGATAGGCCCTATATTATTTCTTAGCTTCTCTATTAATAGATTTAGAAGTGCTCTAAGTAACTTATAATAAAAGATAGCTAGAGTAAATTATATACTAGTTAATATTACTCCTAATAAAGATATATAAGAGAGATATATACCATAGCCTATTAGTATTAACACAGACTTATTAGATTACTTTAATACTCTAAGATAACTCTTATAATTAAATCACCCTCTTCCCACATTATCTATATCTATATCTATAAAAGTTAATAATTATAGCCTTATAAGCATTCTTAAGTACTACTAGATAGTTAAAGCAGCTTAACTAGAGCCTCTAAGGAATAACTATGAATATTAGCTAGTTAATTTAGTAAATTAAGTACTCCATTAATAAAGTCCCTAGGCTAAGGGCTTGCATTATCAGCAGGCAGGTAATATAAGACATTTACATAGCCTAAAGTACCAGGTTTAGTGAATATGAATAGTAGAAACCCTCACCCCACACCTAACTGTAATGACCTATACTATGGATCTGTGATTCTTCTGGATAAGGATAGTAAATAGGTTACATCCGCGCATGCCTATCTTAATAGGTATATTAAGTTCTCTAAGGAGGCGATATTTAAGCCTATAAAGCTTTCCCTAATGCCTAGGGCACTGGTCATCCCACTAGAGGGTGTCATGACTAGGAAGTCTGGTTTAATGTCTGGATCTAATCCATCAACCTCTAAGAATGATAAGAAATAATAAATGAGCATTAGGTAGTTGCGCTAGATATGTAATCTATAAGGAGATATATGGTTGATTTTCATGATCATTAGTGCACATTTGGTTGGATTCTCTGTTGGGTGGTTCATATAACTTTGCCTTTTAGATTGTCTATGAAATTGTATATATTAGATCTATCCATGTAGTCATCATGGCGAGGAAAGCCATATAAGATCGTCCCAACCGTAACTACAAATCATCCCACACCAGAATGGGCTTGATGACTCATACTAATTACAAGCTGGCTGGGTGCTTGCTCTGCTTGCTGCTAGCTTTAGCTATACTAAATTATACTTGCTTACTAAACCTTCTAGAAGATATTAGCCTGATAGAAATATATTATTCTATTAGTTTAATAAGAATAGGGCTGTATAAAGAGAATTAATAAAAGAATAG